GGTAGATTACTTCACAAAGTGGGTTGAAGCTGAACCTCTCGTAACAATCACATCTCAAAACGTCCAGAACTTCTTTTGGAAGAACATAGTGTGCCGCTTCGGGCTACCTCGGATACTGATCTCCGATAATGGCAAGCAGTTTGAGGACATCAAATTCTAAGAATGGTGCCAAGACATGGGGATCCAACAAAACTTTACGTCGGTCGCGCACCCCGAATCAAACGGTCAGGCAGAAGTCACGAACATAGCTATTCTCCGCGGACTAAAGGCCGGGCTAGACCGAGCTAAAGGGTTATGAGCGGACGAGCTGCCCAGCGTTCTATGGGCATACCGAACTACAGAGAAAACCGCCACCAGAGAAACTTCATTTAACCTCACCTATGGCACAAAGGCAGTCATCCCAGCCGAAATCAAAATCCCCTCACTTCGATTGGAAGCATACAGTGACAATACCAATAACGACGAGCTACGTACCAACCTCGACCTGCTCGACAAGGTGAGGGACCTCGCATAGATCAGGACCACAGCATACCAGCAAAGGGTAGCTCGGTACTACAATGCTAGAGCCAAGAAGCGAAACTTTCGCGTCGGTGACCTAGTTCTTCGCAAGGTCATTGTACTTGAGCCCGGCATTGGCAAACTCAGGCCAAACTGGGAGGGACCCTACCGAGTAAAGAGAGCACTCGGAGGAGCGTACGAGATCGAGACCCTGGAGGGTAGGCAAATACCCCGAGCATGGAACATCGTCAACCTAAGGCGATATTACCTGTAAGTTACCGAACTGGGCGGACTGTGAGCCGCTCCCAGAGCCTAAGGGCCAGAATGCCGAGGTAACAAAGGCCTCGACACTGCAAGACCCAGTCGCCTCTCCGGCATGGGCAAAAACCTAGGAAAATATCCTAAGGGCTAAAGCACTAAGCTGAGGATGACCTCGGGAACTCATCAACGCAAACTAAGTGTTAGTGCCAAGAGAGCAGGCAACACGGATATGAAACCCGGGGTGTATAGCTCGCTCTAAGCCAAGCCTACTAAACTGATGTTTCCTTTACCCAGGCGGAGAACAGATCAGGCATATAGCCTTACTATGTTAACCCGCCTCAAGGAACCCCCTCGTTTCGGGGACCTAATTCTATGCAGCTCGGTAATACAATCAATTCGGCAAAAAGATAATAATTGCACAACACTTAAGCTAAAAAAGGTACTTCATTACTAATGTTTACTTTACAGTATTCAAAAAAAAAATGATGAGCTCGCAGGCTCGATACATGTCACTTCGGGCTCGCAGGCCCAGTACATATCACTTCGGAAGTACATCCCCCTTGCCCTCAGAAGGGACCTCGGCAACCCTTGGGGAGTCAACCTCGTCTTCAGAATCTGGATCTTCATAAGCTGCACGAGCCATCTCCGAAGTAATACGCGAGGTGGTGTTGGCACGAGTATCAAGTTTGGGGTATGCGTGCCTTATCATCCACCGGCTCAGTTTGAAGCCTCTCCGATATGAACCCACCATCAGGTCGTCGAAGCACTCCGATGCTATGTAATCGTCAACGGCCTTCACCTTGGCGTCCTCAAGAGCTTAGAAGAAGATCTCGGACTTCTCCTTGATGTCGGCCTTGAGGTATTCCACCTCGTGCTCCAAGACCCCTTTCGAGGTCGCGAGGTGTTTCACGACAAGCCTCAGGGCGCCATTCTCTCTTCAGAGTCTCTCCAACTCACTCCTCTGAGCCGAAGTCTCGCCCTCAAGATACTGGACCCGCTCCCGAGCTGATCCCAAAGCCTCTTCGGAAGTTTGCGCCCGCTTCAGATTCCTCTCTAATTGGATAATCAGGGCATGAATGGAGGAGTTCGCCTGCCAAGCAAGGAGTCAGTTCGGCAAGAAAGTAAAAAATGAAGGAAAAAGCACAAAGGGAAAACCATGTCAACTTACCACCATAACATGAGACGCAGCACGTGCGCCGATGTGACCGAGAGGAAGTTCGGACCATGCCGCGACCTTGCTTGGATAGATAGCCTTCTGGCTCTTTCGGAGAGCGCAGCTCGGAGTCAGCACACTGCCAACCCCCTCTTGGCTCCCCGAGCTGGAAAAAATCGTCGGTGTTCAAGAAGCCTCTGTAGTTTCGGCCTCCCGAGCCTCCGCAACACCGGGCTCCGCTGCCATTTCCAGGATTGGCCCGACCGCCTCAGGTTCCCTGGGAGAATCCAAGTTGATGATCGGAGGATGGCTCGGGACCTCGGACTCCATGGCCTGAGGAGACTCCACGCGAGCTCGCTTTGAGACCCGCTTCCTCCTCTTCATTCCGTCAAGGAGGTTGACACCTCGGGTCTTCTCCGCCTCCATGATACCTGCGAAGAGAGCTCGGTGTCAGTTAAAAAAAAATAAACTAAGTAAAGAAGCCTACCCAGACTCAGACAGGCCTGAATAAGCTTAGCCTCTGAGAGGTAATCTCTGCACTCGAGCCCGACCTGGGCCCAAAACTGAAAGGTCTCCACCATATCTTTATCTAACATGACGCTGGGATCAGGGATAGTTGCCCTCCAATGAGTAGGAAGCGGCCACCCCGTAGCACTTCAGACCACGAAATAGTTTCGCTTCCACGCTGGGACCTTATTTGGAAGTTTGTGAAGAAGTTTAAATCATGGGCGGGGAGACAGGTAGTAGGCCCGTCTGTGCTCGGGAAGGAAGCTTGCTTGCTTCTTAAGCATGAGAAGGCAGAAAAAATTTCTAAGTCCAAGGGAATAACGTATTCACAGCAGAGGGATATGGTCCCGACAACGTTACGAATGGAGTTTGGGTGAAGCTGACCGACTGAGACGCCGAAGTGGTTCAAGACTTCGACGACTAGGGGGTGGAGAGGAAGGCACAGCCTGGCAAAGAGCTGCTCCCGGAAGACCACGATCTCATCTGGACCGTGCTCCCAAGGGAAGTTGCCCGAAGGTAAGCTATATGCATAGTCCCCGGGTAGGTTGAACTGACGAACAAGGGACCGAAGTCTCTCAGACGTCATAGTGGAGGGTCTGAACGTGTCCGGCATCCGAACCTGATGAGAAGTGGACTCTAGGCTACTAGGGGTGACCCGTGCTGAAGGCCCTACCTCGGGCTCATCTAGAAGTGTGTCAAAAGAGGCAGCCCGACCCAAGGTCTCCGCCTCAGGCCCTTCTAAAAGGTTATCTAAGCTACCTGAACTACTCGAACTAGACATCATAAAAGGAAAGGAAGGGAAATTGAAAAGGCTAAGGGGACTCACCAAGGGAACGCTACCGAACTAGGGAAGGTGACGCGAGCTGAGTACCTTGGATGTGAGCTCAAGAAACGATTGCTGATTATTGACAAAGGAAAGTGACCAGGGCCCCCACTATTTATAGCCATTGTACCCGCGCATCAATGGTTGAGATCAAAGCCATCTAACGGCTGTCAAGAAAACCGGCTGCACGACCCCCGAGGTGAAATCTGTTTAGCACGAATTTTTGACGTCCGAGAGCTGATAAATCGTTTGACATCTGCGCGTGAGCTGTACGCGACACGGGTTGACTCTGGTCGAGCCGCACTAACCCCGGTTGATCCAAGAACATAGGTGGGTGAGACCGGGGGATCTCCAAACTGGACGAAGCATGCCACGGGGTAAATCCACCCGTTAGTCCGTGAACTCCCCACGTCGGGTCAAGACCCCGGGCACGGGGAGTCGGGGGCAATTGATGGAGGTAGATTTGGCCCGACCCCTAGGCTGTGCGACACGTGGAAGAAACCTGGGTGACCTGGCAGGAACGCCAGCTCGGCACGGTGACATAGCACGACCATATCCCAAGAGAAGGCTCGAGCTTCCCGAGCTCTCCAAGAAGAGGCCCAAGCTTCTCGAGCTCTCCAAGAAGAGGCCCGAGGCTCCCGAGCTCCCCAAAAGGAACCCACACTTCCTGGGAGGTGAAACCCGAGCTCTCCCTAAGGATCCCGAAGCTAGCAAGCCCTCGAGGGGCGAAGCCCGGACTATCCCAACTCAGGTCTGTCTGGGTCATATCCCGGCACCTCGGGACAGTAGGCCATACTCTCATCCAAACTCAGGACTTCACCTCGTGCACCACTCCGGCACCTCGGCTCCAGGTCGCGCAACTGTGAAACCGTACCTGACAGGTCCATACTCTGGGGCAGCACACCTGACTAGTCTGGATCTAACAGATGGCAATCACACCGTAACGGCCATTTGCTACCGCCATCTCAGTTGTGGCAGAGACGGCCCTGACAGAGAGGACAGTGGCGGTTATGTCTGCCCCCCACAGAGGCAGTTATACCTGACCTGGCAGAAGCTTGGGAGTGAGTGCACCAGGTGGTTATAAAAGGTCTTCTTCCCCCAGAGAAAGAGGTATGTGATATTTGTACTTTCTGGTCTTAAAATCTTTATTTTCCCTTGGGGATATCTATTATTTTATTATTTGTGTCAAAATAATTAAAAATAAAAAACAATAAAAAAGGAAAACCTGTCCCAGTTAATGCGCCTTTCTCTCCAACCTTCTGCCGTTTTGGGTTCTCTTACATCTTGACCTTCAGCCGCTGCAACTGGTTGGTTAGGGCATTCCAATGGCCAAGCAGTTGATCCGCACCCTACCAACCCCTGCCGCTTGGAACATCCGATGGCCGAGCACAAGGAATTCTGTTGCCTTGTTCACTCCCACTTCTTCTCCTCTTCTCTTTTGTCTTCCTACTCAGACTCCGGGGATGTTTGGTCAAGCTGCCACTGTCTCCAACGAGGATTCCAGTCATCGGAAATTTTCACCAACTTGGCACACTTCCCCACCGCACTCTCATGGCCCTGTCTCAAAAGTATCGGCCGCTCATGCTATTGCATTTGGGCAGTGTCCCTCTACTCGTTTCCTCCTTAGAGATGTCAATGGAGATCACTAAGACCCAAGATACTAACTTTGCAACTAGGCCTTCTACAACTGCTGCAAAGAAGCTTCTCTATGGCTGCAATGACTTGGGGTTTGCACCTTACGGCGAGTACTAGAGACAAATGAATAAGATGTCTGTTCTCCGCCTCTTGAGCGTCAAGAGAGTGCAGTCATTCAGATATATAAGGGAAGAAGAGGTTGCTCTTTTGATCGAGAAGATATCTCACGCATGTCAGTTGTGCAACTCAATTAATCTAAGCGAGTTACTTACCATTATATCCGGTAACTTGATTTCTAGAGCTGCTTTCAGTAGCAAGTTTGAAGAAGAAGATGATAATAGCAGACGGATCGGGCCTTTGACAAGGGTGGTAATGTCACTTTTGGGAATCATTTTGGTAATATTCATTTCTGTTTCTGAACTACAAAATACTAATTAAGAACACTTTTTTATCTTCTCAGTTTAGGCCTCCTTTAAATGACATTACAATTGCTGGCTTTCTCGTATATCATATCGAAATTGTTCCATGCGTCGACCTACAAATGCAATTTTGTACTCATTTTGGCTTTTGCACTCCAAATAATATATTTCTTAACAAATTTGTTCATATATATCTTATATATCATATTCCCACTACTTATTCACAGGACATGTTTATTGGTGGAAGTGATATGAAGGCCATTACTGTGGAATGGAGCATGACCGAACTCATCAGGAATCCCAAAGTGATGAGAAAAGCCCAAGAAGAAGTTAGACGTGTTGTGGGTAAGAAATTCAAGTTTGAAGAAGATGACATTCCTCAAATGGCTTATTTAAAAGCTGTTACCAAAGAGACTCTAAGATTACATCCTCCTGCTCCCTTTTTGATTCCAAGAGAGTCCACTAGAGCTATCAATGCTAATGGCTACCATATCCCAGCTAAAACCAGAGTCTTCATCGATGTTTGGGCAATTCAAAGAGCGGTTGAAGGTCAGAGAACCCAAAATGGCAGAAGGTTGGAGAGAAAGGCGCATTAATTGGGACATGTTTTCCATTTTTATTATTTTTTTATTTTTAATTATTTTGACACAAATAATAAAATAATAGATAATTGGTAAAAGAACAAAAACGTTTAGAAGAAAGGTGCATTAACTATTGTTTTATTTATTTGTGTCAAAATAATTAAAATTAAAAAAATCATTGAAAAGGAAAACCTAAATGTGTTGGAAGTTGAAAGTACTTGAAACTCATTGGACTCTCGATCTCCAACCTTCTGCCGTTTAAGTTTCTATTATAAAGAGGGTTTCTCTCTCATTTGAACTCATCTTCTTCCTCATTCGCTGGGTTCTGAATTTCTGCTACGGGCTAGGCCTTTAAGGTGAAAACGGGCAGGAGAACTGCATTGATTATCATAAATTTTTAAGTAGAAACACTAATATTCAATTCATCAGAATAGTTAATGAATATTCTTAGAAAATCAATTCATGTCTTTTTTGTCATAATTAATATCATCTTTTTTTGTATGTCTTTCTCAATAAACAAAAATGTAAATTCGTCAAAATAGTTTATGCATATCTCTATAAAATTGATCCATGTCTTTTTTGTTAAAATTAGTTATCTAATTATATAAATAAATAATAGTTATTATAAATATTGCTAATAATTAGGTATCGAACCGTTTTAACGGTTTTGACTGTTTTTATTTTTCTATTTTTTTTTTATTTTTTTTGCAAGAATGGGTCAACCGTTTGTCTAGAACGGTCGACCCATTTGACTCGATAACCAGACCCCTAACTGGTTCGGTCTCCAGGTCGGTTTTAAAAACCATGATGTTATGTCATTCGACCGTGTGACTCATACAACTCAAAAATGGAATCGTTCTTGCCACTAGTTTTCAGATCGACGGTTCAACTATCCAATTCAAACGAACAACCTGTTCTGACAACAAAAATTTAGAAAATAAAAAAGTAGCCAAAAACCATTGAATGGGTCAACGGTTGATGGCTCAACCACTCGGGTCAATGGGTCGTTGAGCGATTCAACGATTTTTGGCCACAAACTGGGATTGGGGTAAAATGGAACAAGTTGCTTGGATGATTCCATTAAGTAGTACCATACGTGTTATGTCATTCGAGCGTGTAACTCATACGACCTAAAAACGAAACCGTTTTGGCCACTGGTTTTTTGGTCGACAATTCGATTGTTCGACTCGAACGGATGGCCCATTCCCACAACAAAAATTAAGAAAATAAAAAAAAAATGACCAAAAACCATTGAACGGGTCAATGATTCAACCACTTGGGTCAATGGGTCGTTGATCGATTCAACGGTTTTTGGCCAGGGGCCGAGATTATGATAAAACATAACCAATTGCCCGGATGGTTCCCAATTAAAAAAATAAAAAACAGCCAAAAACCATTGAATGGGTCAACGGGTTGATGGTTCAACCACTCCGGTCAATGAATCGTTGACCAATTTAATGGTTTTTTGCCAGAGACTGGGTCAACGGGTCGACAATTCCATCCCAGCCCCTAAGAAGCAGGGCCCCTCTACTAGTTTATATATTACTACTAAAGCTCTCCATGTGCAGGAATCTCCTTTATTTTTTAAACTTTTGTAATTTATACAATGAATCAAAGCAATCTATTATAAATAAAATAACAATAGAGTAAAAATTAGTTTCAAAACTTCTGAGGTAGAGGATGAAAAAAGATTGTAATTAATAGAATTAAATGCGATATTTATTCTATGGGTCCTTGAAAATACACGATGAAAATAATTGAATCCACTCCACCCAACCAACCAGTTGCAGCAGCTGAAGGTCTAGAGGTGGGAGAACCCTAAATGGCAGAAGGGTTGAGAGAAAGGTGCATTAAATGGGACAAGTTTTCTTTTTCATGATTTTTTTATTCTTAATTATTTTGACACAAATAATAAAACAATAGAAAACTCCTAATGGAACAAAAACATTAACATGGTGTTTAGAAGCGTAGGCACTTGTGGGACCGATTTTCAAGAAAAATGCCCATGTGTCTTTCATAAAAAAACGCTTCTGCCATGTAAGCAATGAGCAACACTATGCTGTTTGGTAAGCACCATTTTTTCATAACTTTTTTTCATGTAAGTGATGACAGGTAAGCACTACATAGGTTACACATCAGCAACCGTGGGGGAAACAATTCACCGATGCATGCATCGGTGGGTCCCAACATGCCCAATTTTTTAATAATCGGCTGAACCAAACAATGAGATACATGGGTGTTTGTTGAAACAGCTATGTGGATCTGACGTGGCACCGTTCTTTCTGAAAAACGGACAAGGTTCCAAACATCCCCTAAGATGAAAGGCGAATTAGCTGGGAAAGGTGTCACACAGCTATTAGGTGCTTAGTGTGCTTACTAACGTGCCTACTACATCCAGACCCGAGAAAAGTGTACTATTGCTATGTCATGAAAATTTAAATTAGAGCCTTATAAAGGTGAAACGTGAGTAGAGAGAGGTGTCATGCAAAGTGTCTCCTAACTCATTGATTGTAGTGGATGAAGTATGAGTGGAGATTACTTGGGTTATTTGTAAAAAACAGGGTGGGATGACTTAGGAGCCTCTACACATCACACGTTAGCTAATTCAAGTCCTCATTTTGTCTTTTCAACGAAAAAAGTATTATTGAGTGTAAATACTATTTTATCAGCAGTCATTATGAGATGTGTCATTCACAACAGGCTCTCAAAATAGTTCAGGCTATTTCTCAAAAACCAACAAAGTTTTTGTTCAGAAAAAAAAATAAAAAACAAGCTAGGCTGTCTTAGGAGCATCTACACAAGACACCTTAGCTAATTCAGGTCTTCATTTGTCATTTTAACTAAAAAGTTATTGAGTATAAATACTGGTTTACCCGCAGTTATTATGAAATGTCATTCACAGCAGGCTCCCAAAACAGCATAGGCGGTTTTTCGCAAACAACCAAAGTTTTACCATATGGAGATCACTCTGGTTGTTTAGAAAAAAATAGGATGGGTATTGGGAGCCTCTACACATTACACTTCAGCTAATTCAGGTCCTCATTTGTCTTTTCAACTAAAAAGGTATTGAGTGTAAATATTGTTTATCACCACATAGTTATTATGAGATGTCATTCATAGCAAACTCCCAAAATAGCCCAAGCTGGTTTTTCACAAACACCCAAAGTTTTTCCATATGAGTTAAGTTCCAAGGAAGGGGGAAGTCTAGTAGAAGGATTCACTAGTGAGGCCAAGTTCGCCTTTTTAGAGATAGGTCGGCAAATAGTGGTGAGAAGTGCCCTAAAACTACGTAGGGTCAAGGTTCAAATTTTCAAAATGTACTAACCCATATTGGTCGACGCATATCATATCTTTAAGGGGTCGGCACGGGAATTCTACAAAATCATTTGTATCATGTCTTTTCGTCATATTGAACCCATATCGTGACAGTATCAGGGCGTACCGGACCTGTATTAGGGTGTATTAGCCAATACAGTACAATTTCCTATAGGCAAAAAATGAATTAAAAAAGTTTGAGGAAAAAAAAGGCTTCTAACTCTCTTCAAAAGCCTTCTTTACTCTTCCAAACTAACCAAATTATCTCTACACATTCTTGGATTGTAAAATTGTTAAAAAAAACCAAAAAACAATGTCCAAAACTCAAGATTTTTTAAAATTTTTCAACTTTTTACGAAAATTGGTAAAATATATATATTTTCAATTTATTTGATAGTATGTTACAATATTTTGTATTTTTCTTAATGCTTGGTAATGCTTATCTTTTGTGCTTTAAATAGATCTATTTATTTTTTTGAAGAAAATTTAGAAAAAAATATAAGACAACAACAAAAAATAAAATTTTATATTTTTGCTATAAGATGAGAACCCAAGGTGGCTAAACCAGTGAGGTCACTCCGATGATTAAGTCAGTACTCTCATAGACTGCAAGCTAAAAATCACAAAAGTATGAGAGCTAGAATATGCTTACTTGCCCGCCTCATGTCATTGGGGTTGGTGCCTTTATATAGGCATTGTTTGGCGTGGGCTTCACGCACCATATCCAAGATTTCTGAGAGGTTGCCTAAGTGGTCCGAGATTCCCGGAGGCAACTACCATGCACGTCGACCACCCTCCGGATCGTTTGGTAGGTGGGCCAACTTCCAAGGATCGTGGGAGTGTTGGGATATGCATGCCGAATTTGTCGGCGAGCACGTCTCGCAGGTCGCCAGGTCGGCACCTGTGCCAAGTCGCCAGGTCAGCGCTGTGCCTTGCTGCCAGTTCGGCACCTGTGCCAGGTTGCCAGGTCGGTGCCTGTGCTAGGCTGCCAGTTTGCGCCTGTGCCAGGTCGCCAGTTTGGTGCCAGTGCCATGTCGCCAGGTCGATGCCTGTGCCAGGTCGCCAGCTGGGACACCATCATCTTGGCTAAGGCAAATTATTGCCTAAGTGGTTTCGGATCTCACCTAGTTGTTCCGAGATGCCACGTGTCACAATGTCATTAGAGGGCCAAATCCGCCCTCATCATTGCCCCACACTCCCGAGCTGAAAGTAACTCGGCGAAGGGAGTAGATTGCTACTTTTTGCCTGGAATGACTAATTCGATGAGCTCATAAGCGTCGATCCAATTTGCTTCTCAAGTTAGAAGAGTCCAAGTGTTTGCAGCCTTGGGGTTTGGGAGCGACTCGCAATCCAATCTCCTTACCCTTGATTTTGCCCATGCCGAAGAGGCGACTAGGTCTTATGTGGCGCCGAGGTCTTTTATTTGCTCGATACTTTAGCCCTTGGGCTCTGGGAGCGACTCGTAGTCCACTCTCCTTACCCTTGATTTTTCCCATGCCGAAGAGGCCACTAGGACTTATGTGGTGCCGAAGTCTTTTATCAGTTCGACACTTTAGCCCTTAGGCTCTGGGAGCGACTCGTAGTCCACTCTCCTTACCCTTGATTTTGCCCATGCTAAAGAGGCAACTGGGTCTTATGTGGTGTCGAGGTCTTTTATCAGTTCGGCACTTTAGCCCTTAGGCTCTGGGAGTGACTCGTAG